GCCACACCCTGCTTTCAACAGTGTGCCCGAGTCATTCATTTCAACAGAAGACTCAACTCACAAGTGGCACTGCCCAAAGTTGTCCTTGCCATGGTGACCTCACCCTGGTATCAGGGTGATTGCTGGGGTAAGAAAGCAGAACGATTTCCTGGTTCACTTTCAGCACGTCCCTCCCTTTATTTTACTTGTTTAATCTTATCACTTCCTCCCCCACACCCCCTACCATGAGGCAGAGCAATTATGCCTGTAAAATATTCCTGAAAGGACTCACTACTCCCCATCTCTGTAAGGATGGCCAGCACGCGGCTTCAATTATTGCAGCGGCCTTCCACTTCATCTGTGGGATTCCAGACTAGGCCATGTTCAAACTGGGTCACACCATCCTGCATTTAACACTTGGTGGCTTCCTATTTCTTTCAAGCTAAGCTATTCCTTTCTCTTTCCTCTTATCCTACTACACAATCAGTCCTCCAGCTTCCTAGAAACACCTGCCTGCTTGCCTCTGAGCCCATGCCTAGTACCCCTTGGGTTCCTCTTGATTCTTTCTCAGCCTGCCCCAGGGGCCATCTTATTCACTAACATTCATAGCTGGGGATACAGCTCAGTAGTACAGCACATGCCAGGCATGCAGAAAGCACTGAGTTTAATCCTAGCACCATGTGCATAAAACAAAGGCTTACCTGTTATTCTGTTATGAGCTAGGCTCTTGCTACACAGTCCAGGCTAGCCTTGAGTTCTCCGGCTCAAGCAACCTTCCTGCCTCGGCCTCCCTAGTAACTAATTTCCTTTTATTTGTGTTATGCATGTGGGTGTATTGCCTGCGTGCACGTAAGAGCACTATGTCCATGCAGTATCCTCGAAGGACAGAGAACATCAAATCCCCTGGAACTGGAGCTACAGACAGCTGTGAGCTGCCAAGTGGGTGCTGGGGATGGAACCCAGATCCTCTAAAGGGGAGTCAGTGCTCTTAACTGCTGAACCACCTCTCTAGCCCTGTTCTTTTTTTTTTTTAATAAATCTTTTTTCTAAGACGTATTTTTTATTTTGATTCTATGTGTGTGGGTTTTTTTGTTGTTTTGTTTTGCTCACACGGGTGCAGGCAGTGTCCTTAGAGGCCAGAAGAGAGCGTCAGCAACCCTGGAACCACATGGGTGCAGGGAATCGAACCCAAGTCCTCTGAAAGAGCAGGCAATGCTCTTAACTGCCAGGCGTCTGTCCAGTGCCAGTCTTTGGTTCCTGATAGCTTGTGCTTTCGCTCTCCATGACTGAGCACAATACAGTATTTCTTTCTTGTGTTCCTTTGTTTATGATCCACTTCCCAACAAGGTTCTCAACTTCCTGAAAGCAAGCACCATGCCCCTCTGGCACTTTATACCCAGCATCTGGCACACAACGGTCCTAAAAAGCACTTTGGGCTCAGCTGGTAAAGTGCCTGCCAGGCATGAATAAGAGCCCAAGTTCGGATCCCTGCACAATAGAGAGTAGTATTGAGATCACCTGATGTCAGTCTCCGGCCTCTACACGCACCCTTGCACATACAGCAAGCACACCCACACACATGAGCCATGCACACAAGCCTAACACACGTACACACAAAGTATTTTAGATGGTTGGGAATAGAGTTCAGTGGCTTGGAGCAGGCCCTGAGTTCAATTCCTAGCATCAGGGGGGGGAAAATCAATATTTATTAAAAGAACGGATATACTTTAGAGATGAGAAGGGGGTGGAGCAGGTAGAACTTCCTCTACTCTTACTGAACGTCTGACACAAGAAATCACAAGTAATGCCATCATCACCTAGTGACACCTTTGATGTGGTCCCCTCCTGTGGTCATTTCATCCCATAGCCAAGATGAGGGAGGGGTGTTTGTCACAGATCTACAGAGAGCCAGGAGTAGGAGGCACCCCTGCTGCCTGGGAGATGAATGGTTCCAGGAAGGCCCAACGTTATCTTTAAGGGAAATTCTAGAAAGAAGGAGGGGTGAATAGTAACCAGTAACAATATTGCTTAAAATTTCCACCCTGCTATAAAACAATTTAAACACGCACAAGAAGCCCAAAGCACACCTCCAACGGCTTCCTTGTGACTTCAAGACCTCGATGGTCATCTAAGCCACTCCACACTTCAGTCTCTCTGAAAAACAACTCCTCAGCTCATTTCCGGTAGTCCAGACTTTTCCACGGGTGGCTATTTCGGCATCTCACTATCTTTTACAACTTTTCAAACCATCTAACCGCTACAGTATCCAAACACTTTCTTTCATAGGCAGGCATCGGAGTCTCAGCTGATACAGGAAATGGCCCCTCCACCATTCCCTCCTCTCTCAACCGAAGATTAAGGCAATCCTAAATCTTATGGCGTTTACTTGCATAACGGCCCTACTTTAAGAGATTATTTCCCAAATTTTGTTGCTCTCAGCCCCTTAAGAAGGTTTGTCTGTTTTTGTTTTAAGCCAATCTACTACGGGAGACAAGAAAGCTGGGCTGAGGGTCTTACACGATGCTTACCTAACCATACTTTGGATTCATGTCTGCTGTTGTCGGGGTACTTAACTGGCTCCTAGTTAACCAACATCCACTGAAATATCAGGTCTTTAACACATATCAGAGTAAAATCAATTCCTTTTTACTATTCCTAAACTGAAGGATATACATTCCCTGTTACTAAATGTATCCTGCCTATATATTAGGCTGCCCAATATAGTAGGCTACTTTAAAAGTGTGTATCATCACACTAAACTTAGGACAGCAAATTCAGAATCGTGATAAAAAGCATATTCTCTTGTCTGCAGATAAATTTGCTGTATAGGGGTTTGTCAAGAGAATGATTCGTAAATTGGCTCTTAACATAATGGACCGCAAATTTCTGTGTCTGAAACAAAAAAAAAAACTACCCTTTGTTCAGTAACTGTTTTGCTACATACATACACACACACACAAAAAAAAAAAACATACACACACACAGAGAGAGCAGACCAAGATTTTAGCTTTTTGTTTTACATATAAGGTGGAATCAAACCATTAATAACCCTTTCTGTTAAAACTGACACCTCTCAGGCTATATCTTATTTTTAACTCTGAGCTACCTGGGGCATCTTGGAATTATTATTCCAGGGATCAGATAGGCTTAACCAGAAGCTAGGAAAGCCCCAGAAAGGGGCAGACGGAAACTTTGCAGTATCACCTTCTTGTTGAAAAGCAAAGACAGTCCGTGGCAGTTATAAAAACCCACAAAGTAAGCACAATTTCCCGGCTAGTCAATATTGTGACTAAGTGGTAACCCGCTCATGTGACAGAAACAGGAACAACCATGTAGGCTTAGGGGATTACCTTGGAGAAAATGAGAGAAAACGATACAGAGATGAAGGAGAGCTTAAGGAGGTTTTCGTCCCTCACACAGCAGTGCAGGACCTTTTGAACCTTCACACTGGCTTCATTCTCCCAGGAAGCTGCAGCCCTTTCCAAACATCAATTAAGGGTAGCAGCATGCTCCATTTGTAAATAGGGAAGCTGGGGTGTTTAGAGCCTGAGCAACCCAACTGTGAGTCAGGACCAAGGAGATGTGAGCCCAGGAGTCTGGAAACCCCATCTCTGGCAGGGAAGTGTAATCTATCTTGCAAGGGCATGAAACTGTCATATAAGAAACAGATAGCAAACAGAGACGTGAACATTCATCTTGGAAAGGGGCAATATGAAGAAGAGTCAACAGACAACAACTCAAGCCCCTCAAATGCCATTTAATCAAGATGGCAAATAAGGATGGCTTCCGCGCCACAGGCACGGTACGGTGTGTAAGTGGTTGCTTTGGGATACCCCATGCAGCCTCACATCAAAGCTCTCCTTTTTTGAGTTCAGCAATGCCTATTCATCTGTGGCCACAAAAACGAATCCGGTATTTCAACTGGACTCATGCATGCTGAAGCTGAACTGCCCTCTCCTGGAAACTGCAGGTGCTCTGGCTCCTCCTGCCCCACCCCAAGGAAAAGTTAAAACACTGTATGTCTCAAGTACTGGGGCTGAACAGGTGCTTTCTCATAAACAAGCCAAGTAACCAGTTAGGCGAACCTAAGCTTTCTTCGGTACATGAGATGAACGGAATCAAATGCTCCACCGGCTAAGCTGCCCCTTCCGAAAACCAGTGAACAAGAACAAATAAATCCGTAAGTCTTTAAAGTGAACTGGGGTTTACCCAGCTTTTCCTGCAGAATTAGGACGCCCTCCCTGTCAATCCCTTCAACTGAGGAGCAAGAGGTGGGTGAGTGAGTAGCCACCTACCGGGAATTTGATCCAGACAGACTTTACCCAACTCCAGAGCGCCACAATGCTCGCTTCTACTGATCTTGGGGCCATCACCTACCACTAACTAGAATCCCCCCACACACACACACACATACACACACGCCGAGAAAAACACCAAATTGTTTTAGACTTCATGCTGAGGGACAGTTCCAGGTGGCAATGTGAGTCAGCAATCACCAGACTGGTGGGGTATTTTTTTTTTTTGGTCTTATTTTGCCCCCCCCCATTGTTTTCCCCACGCCTCCTCTTAGCCATCCGCCCAGCAATCGTTCAGCTCTGCGGTGTTGGGGCTTTCATTCCAATTAGTTTTCTCTGGTCCTTGCCCCAAGGGTTTTCAGCTCTAAACGTCAAGCTTAACAAAATACCCAGGGGCCTTCCACCTAAGTTAACGCAGCAGCATGTCAGGCGCACACTACCCAACCTAATAGGAATTCTCCTACCCGCATATTGTTTCAATTCATCAAAAATTCATCTAGTGCTTATCTGTGTACTGTGCATTTCGTGGCGCCCAGAGGATTCAAAACCTCTCCTGCCTTCCAAAAGCTCCCCATCCTGGGAGAACTGGGACGTGACACCCGGACGAGAAGCTGGGTTAGGTGAGACTTGCGGGCGAAGCCATCGCGCGGTGGCTGCCCCGCTCGCCCCCCAGGAGCAGCACCGCCCCAGAGCCCTTACGCCCCTCGATGCCCCACGCCAACTCACTGTGTCTTCCTGCGGCGCTGGTCCTGGTGCAGCTCCCGCAGGTCCACCTCGGCGCGACCCAGGAACTTATCGAGCCCGAGCAGCGCGCGGTGCAGGACGGTGAGCTGCAGGGTGGCGGCAGCGGCGGGCGCGGCCCCCGAGGACAGCAGAGGCGGCAGTTCGAAGGTGGCCTCCTCGCGCCACACGGGCGCGCCCAGGCTGCGCTCCGACACCGACGTGGCGTACTTCTCCTTGCCCACCTGGATCACCGCGTACGCATCGCTCGTGCCCCCGGGACCCTTGGCCCGCAGGCCCCGCGCCTGTAGCACCGTCACCTGCACGTGTGTAGGGGACCACATGGTCCCCAGACCCCGGCCCGCTGAGGCCCCCAGAGACATGGTGGCCGACCGCCGCTCCCAGCTGGGAGGCCACAAGGTAGCCGCGGCGTCGGTATGAACCGCCCACCCGGCTCCCTGGCCGCTTTAAGGCTTCCGGTCACGCCCCCGCCACGCCCCCGCGCCCACGCGCCACCTGCCGGAGGGGGGCCAGAGCGGGGCGGGACCTGGAGAAGGCGGGGACCTAAAGGTCACGTGGGCTCGCGCTTGCTGAAGCTTTTGGATCTGTGAGGTAGCGATGCTAGATGGGGTCCTCAGCTGCCTGGAGTCCATAGGATGCAACGGAAACTAGGCGGAAACTCTGGCTTGGAAATCATGATTAATTACTAAGCGTGCACCAGCAAACCGCAGGTGTGTGACCTTGTGTAGATCACTTAAAACTTTGCCTCAGTTTCCTCATGTGAAACAAGGCGACGCTCATCGCTTGGACTGCTGTAAAGAAAGTGATACATTTAAGTTTTCGGCACAGTTGCGTGCGCGTGGGGAGGGTTCCGAAAGTGTCCAGGATAAACGGGACGATGGCAAGCACTGCTCCTCTTGCCCCGGTCCCCTGGGTACTGCTCTAGCGGAAGATAGGCACCAGGGACGGTAGAAGGATGTTATTTGGGCCTGCGAAGGGGAACGGGAATGGAGGGTAAGTGATAGGCCGGCCTGTGCCACCTTCCCTCACCAAATAAGGTGAGGCTCGGTTAGGAAGAGCAAGAAGGGGGAACTGGAAATGGGTTTGCCAAACTAATCCCCTCGGTTCCCCATTTCTTCCTACTTAGCCTCTTGCGTCTGTCCCTGGGCTCCATCTCTGCCCTCCCACCCGACTTTCTTGTTCCCGGTGACTAGTAGATTGGTGACTTCCCTGTGTGTTTCAGGGCATCATCCTTCCAAGGCTGAAGTCTCCTGTGGCGTGGCGAGTCTTCAGTCTGTAAATGGAGCTCTGAAGGCGTTTAGGTCTTAGGATTTAGGAAAGGTTCAGGGAAGAAAAAAAATGTGACACTTCCAAGTGTCCTGCATTAAAGCTGGGACTAGAACCCTGGTGTCCTGCCTCCCGTGCTAGAATTTACTGCTCCTCTTGCTCTACCACATTCTCAGGATACCAGGTCCACCAAGGTCCCCAGGTTTCCCTCCCCCTCCTCTGGGTGCCTGCCCATGCCCGTCGACCTGTCAATAGCATTCCTAACATCTGGAACCCCTGCAGCGTTGCATCACCACCAGCTGCATTAATTTCTCACTTAGAGACCTGAAGGCATTCCTCTTTGGGTCCCACCCCTCTGTTTTCCTTGACTTCTGGATAAACAAGCCTGCAGCCCAGACAGTTTCTCTCCCTCCAGGCCTGAGCTGCTTCCATTGTCTTTTTGACTGTCCTAGCTACCCAAGCAAACACTCCCCACTGCTTCACAAAGATTTCTCCAAGGTTTGTAGCCACCTAGGAGGCAGGTGACTTCTTCAACTCCCTTCTTTCTCAGTCTTTAGGCAAGGGGAGGGTGATGATGGCGGTGGCGGCAGCAGCAGCGGCGGCAAAAATAAGAAAGACCATAAGACTGCCAAGATAGCAAGGTCATGCAGATTATCAACACCGGTCTTGGGAATTTATACCCAGAGGTGAGCTAGCCTCTGGAGAACTGAGAGCGTTAGCATCCTTAAAGTGTGTCCAGACAGCTGTGACAGGGAAGAACTTGCAGGTGACAGCCATTTGCCTTCATTCATTTCTCCCTGGAGACTCTTTCCCTGTGCCATCTGCCTGCCCCTTGCCCATCCTCGCTGTTTATACTCAATTGGCTGTCCTGCTTCTTCAGTGCCCCCCAGCTAGACAACGTCTAGGTCTGGCACCCACTTTGGCTCTGGGAGGGAGTTTTCAACTCTGATTTCCTCCAAAATTATTGAGGCTAGAGAGATAGCACAGCAGTTGAGAACACTTCTTGTTCTTCCGGATGACCCAGGTGTGATTCCCAGCACCCGCACGGCAGCTCACAACTCTCTGAGGTTCAAGAGGATCTGATAGCCTCTTCTGGCCTCTACAGGGACCAGACGTGTATGTGGTACACAGACATACACGCAGGCAAAACACCCATACACATAAAACAAAAATAATTTTAAACATTTATTTTTTTACTGTATATTGGTTTATTTACTTATTTTTAAGGAAAACAAGGTATCTGCATGTATAGCAGCAGGCTGACCTCAAACTTCTCTTTGTCCTGTCTTGCCCTCTGAGGGTGGAGATTACAGACATGGGCCATGTTGCTCAGCTCCCACACTCTTTTTTTATTTCTATTATTTATTTATTTATTTATTTATTTATTTATTTATTTATTTATTTTTGCTACTTCCACAAGGGAGAGAACAGGGATTAAACCAGAGCTGGGCAGTTTCTCAGGGTGAGCAGGGAGCAGGGGACAGCATCTCTTCACTCATGACAGGGATAAGGAGAGTGAGGTGGAACTAGGGCTGTGAAATCTTGAGCATTCGTGACCTTGTGTGTTTGGGTTTCTGTCACACAGAGGCGGACTAAACAGGGTTGGCAGGATCGGGGAGGGCAGTGCCACCTCACCACCCCACAGGTAAGGCGCTTTTTCTCTGACAGTGGACTCCCAGCAGGGGCCAAGTGAGCTGCCTGGGGCTAGGCTCAGTCAGCTCAGGGAGGGAAATGGACCTTCTTCAATAAAAAGGGAATAGGACGTTTTCTAGTAAGTCAGTTGCAGACCTACAGGGTCGTTATTTTCCTCTTATTCTTGGGACCTCAGCACACTGTCCCCAAGACTCAGTGACTGAGTGAGAATGTATCTGCTCCCATTTTGACAACACTGTAACCTGACTAGGGATACCCAGGCACACTGGCAAGGGCTGCGGCAAGGCTGACAGACTAGGGGCTCTGACTGCCCACCGCCTGCAGCGCCACCCCTAGGCAGCTGGTTATCCTAAAGGCAGGCCAACTACCTTCCCCGGCCATCGGGAATGTTTGTAAATACCTCCGGGGTGGAGAGGGAGAGAGAACAGCTCTTCCGCCCACTCTGACCCGCCTACTCCTGGGTCCAACTGAAAGAGGAAGAGTTTCAGTCAACCCTGAGCACACAGACAAGGTGCCCGGCAGGTTAGACTGGACAGGCAGGGCAGCAGCTGTCCTCCTGCGATAGAAGCAAAGCACAGCCAGCTGCAGGAAGGCTCGGGGCCTCTCTACGGGCAGGGACCAGGATGGGCTACGATCAGGAATGCAGATTTGTAGTGGCCAGCCCGCAGCTTCCTCCTCCAAGATGAGGGAGGAGAGAGGAACTATTCAAGCAAAGGGACAGTCACCGCCCTCCCAGTTGCCAATCACTATCACAAGAAGGTTTAAGTCAAAAAAAAAAAAAAAAAAAAGAGAGAGAGAGAGAGAGAGAGAGAGAGAGATGTCTATGGAGTTTAGGTGGCTGAGGTGGCAGTCCAGGGAGGGGCTGGGAGAGTCTGGTAATGGTGGCTGCCCGTTCTCATTCTTCCCCGAAGATTCCAGGGTGTGGTGGTGACAGACTTCCACCCAGAGTGATTCATTCACCCAGCACTGGTAAATAGCTGGCCAGCCTCTTGTGTCCAGCTGCCTTGGCACCTGCCCACTAGGCTGCCTGTGACTGCCTGCCTTCTGTTGTGAAGGTTTGAGGAATGTGTGGGTTGGTTTTTTGGTTTTGGTTTTTTTATTTGTTTGGTTGGTTTGGTTTTGGTTTTGGTTTTTGAGACAGGATTTCACCTTGTAGCCCTGTCTGCGTGGTTGTCATGGTTCTCTGTAGACCAGGTTGGCCTCGAACCCACAGAGATCTGCCTGCCTCTGCCTCCTGAATTCTGGGATTGAAGGTATTAGCCACAACCACTCAGAGCTGGGTTTTTTTTTTTTTTTTTTTGTCGACTTGACAAAAACCTAGATATATCTGGGACGAGGGACTCTCCACTGAGAAAATGCCTCCATCAGACTGGCCTGTAGGCATGTCTGTGAAGCATTTTCTTGATTAATGATTGACGTGAGAGGTCCAGCCCATAGAGATGGTGCCAGCCCTGGGTAGGCAGGCCTGGGTTGTTTGAGCAAGTCAGTAAGCAGCACTCCTCCATGTCCTCTGCTTCAGTGCCTGCCTTGAAGCCCTGGCCTGACTTCCCTGGGTGATTGTCTATAAGCTGTAAAATGGAAATAAATCCCCCAGTTGTTTTAGACGTGGCGTTTATCACAGCAATCGAAAGCTAACTATGATGCAGAAGAAACCAGAGTCTCTCGGGCTGACTCACTGAGGGATGAGGAAGTGCAGATCTCCCACATCAGGGTCTCTTTCCATTGCCCTGCTTGGCTTAGTGGTGGAGCCCTTGTCTGCTGTCCATGAAGTACTGCACAGTACTACCAAGAAGAAGAAACAACCCCTCCCCTCCAAAAAAATTTTTTTTTGAAATAAAAAACTGGCAGAAGCCGATAGAGATAATGCCCATAGGTCTTTTTTGTAAGCTTGATGCTATTGCCTTTATTTAACAAGGCTATGTCATAGATTACATGAAGGTGTTGTCAAGACCTCTCAGAGAAAGCTTTAGACTCCTCTATAATGCCAAGGCCAGGCCATAAGACAAATGTGCCCCCTCTTCCGCCCGTTACCCACAAAGACTTCCCTGCATCTCCTGTTTCCTACTCTGTCTCTTGGCACTTTGATGGAACACTGTTTTATTCCGTTGTACACCGGAAATAGGCATCTCACCGCTGCAGCACCATTTCCGGCTAGCTAGGTCTTTCTTCCAGTTTCTTTTCAGTAGAAAGCGCCCAAGTAGAAGAGATATAAATGATTCTCAAACACGCATCCAGCCATTAAATCTCTGCAACTGCCACAGCATTACCCTGTACAAACACTTTTTTAATTCGGCGTTTATTTATTTATTCTTATTATAAAAGTAAAGCGGGGTATGTGTCAGGAGTAGAACACGGGGCCGCAGAGGAGTGCGTATTCTTTATTTCTAGCTGCAAGCCCCACTTGAATCTTCTAGAGCCATTTGTGGCATAAGAGGGAAGGCAGAAGTTTTGCAGACCAAACCCCTTGAGTTGTCCCATCAAATGCCACCCCTGAGGGGCTTGTTCCCTTTCCAGCCTCTTCTAC